AAAAAAAAAAAAAAACACATTGAAAACAATATTGTTACTTTTAAAGAGCGAAACTTTCCTCGATTATTTATTTTCTGGCGCGACTGGGAAACGCTTCTTTTGTTGTCGCATCTAATGCGACTGGTGCAACGATTCGGTTTCGTATCGGCGTATGTAAGGGCGGAACGCGGCCCGTATACGACCGTTCGCAAACACCGTTCCGGGGCTCACGCAGAAGATACGATCTCTCTGCTCGCATATACAAACGTAGCCAACGTCCTCGGCCGGGTGCGCGCTCCCTTCTCCTCTCGTAAGCCAGCTACGCCATTAAGCTGGAATTCAGGTGTATTAACGATGCCGCGCGCGCGGGCAGGTACGTAGCGACCACCCGTGGCCACCCCAGTAGCAACGCTAATAGCAACGCCACGGCCGGAACCGTTCGTTAGGAGGAGATTTTATTTCGCCTATCTTACGCGCTCGCTCCTCCGAGCTACACGACGTTTACTGCCGACGGCGGCAACACCGGTGCCCCGTTCCCAATGGGAAAAGGGTTGTGGAGCGCGCAATTGTACGCGCGCGATTGCGCGTCGCGCCTTATAACTTGCGAGGATGTTACTCCACACAGACTCCGCGCGCGACCGAAGAGTTTAATCGCAATATTTTACAAAGCTCCTCGGAATTATTTTCATCCCCGTTAATTATAGGATATTAACGCACGCTCGTTCATTTATTTTGCCGATCGCGCAGTGCGTTTGTGTGTTAATTTGATTACCACTGTGGCAATCTCGATCGACGACGAGATCAAAAACTTGCGAGTTGAAAGGTTTGACGATTATACTGCGAGATTTTAATATATGTTTTTTAACGTGCAGTTTTCGCGGAATTTATTCCGCTCTTTCACCGCAGTATCTTCTTAGTGTTTGTTGTATTAATGTGTCCTTTTCAATAAGCGCGAGTTTAAAATTGTACGAGAGCTGTGCACGCGCGCACACACAACGTCGCGTGTTCTCGCTCTTCGTGCGCCGTCTTCCGTAAAAAAAAACGAAATATGCAGAAACAGGAACACGAGATGCGACTAATCCTGCGAGAATATAAGCAAAGCGGACTGCATCCGCGTCGCCGTGCTCTTATTGGAGCGCTAAGCGGCATCCTCGTTATCGAGAAATTCCAGCGAACAGAAGTCCCGCAGGTGCTACGGGAGAATTAAATGAATGCCGCGATGCGTCCGTTGATTTATTAATTTCTTTTTCGCGAGAAACGTGATTTTAATAACATAAATATTTTTGTGTTTTGATATAATAATAATTATTTTTTTTTTACCAATGATATCATTAATCGATTCGTTTGAGAGCAATGTTTTTTTGTTTTTATAAATAAAAACGATATTCATTAAAATTTATTAAAAAACGTTAATTTAAGAGAAATTTTATATTTTGCATTTCAGGTGGTTCTGTCACTTCGACGACGACAACTACGTGAACGTGCCGCGCCTGTTGAAACTCCTGGACAATTATAATCCGCGCGAGGATTGGTACCTCGGCAAGCCCTCGATACCTGCGCCCTTGGAGATTAACAGACAAGGACCGGAGCCGCAAAAGCGACCGGTGAGTGCGAATCCGATCTTTTCTTTTCTCAATATTTTTCTTTCGTCTTTTTTTCGACGATTCTCTTAAATACGTTCGGACGAATTTGTTCTGGATCGTTCGTCCGAATGAACGAATTCCGATAGACCACCTGCTCGGAACCCCCCCCCCCCGTGGTGTGTTTCACTTATTGTAATTACACGTTTCTTCGAAACTCTCAATCTATTACGGACGGATATCTTCGCGCGCTCGGTCAACCAAAAAGAAAGATGTCTGTCTCGGAAAGACAAGGGGGAGGATCCGGTAATACAGAGCTCGACGGTGGCAATTTGAAGCAGTGACAACAACGAGCGCTGTATCGGCGCGCTTCGCCGCCCAGCTCGCGAGAATATTGTAGACAGACGATGGCAAAATTGGCCCGGTCCTTTGAAAGATCTCCGATGAGCTCGAGAGATGAAATTATATAAACGCGTCAGCGAAAAGAGAAAAAATCGGGAATAAGGAAAAGATGAAAAAAAAAAAGAGAAAAAAAAACGCGGGGTAAAAGAGATCATCATTCGCGGTAGATTTTCTTTCTTCTCTCTTCTTCGCGATTCTTGAGCGCGCGAGAAGCTCCGCGCGCTTCTCCGCGCGTCACTAACGGATGATCTTATCGAATTTATGCATTCGCGAGTTTAGCTTCCGGCGAATCTGGCGCGCATACGTCTCGCGCGCGAGAGTGTTTCGAGTGAAATAGGGATCGCTCCGCTTTTGTAAGCGGTTCGTTCGAGAGAAGGCAACCGCGCCGCCGCGTTTCTATTCTTTTTAACGCCTTCCCGGCGGCGTGTTCGAAGCTATTCTCTTGCACGTCTCATATATATTGTACGTATATATCTTTGAGAGAAAGAGAGACAGATAGAGAGAGTGAGAGTGAGAGAGAGCGTGCGATAGGTTTTTACGAGTAGATCTCGTTCTACGAAGCCCACGGCGCGTCCGTGAAATTCCGATTTTCCTCCACGCGAGAGAGACGCGGCGCGGTTTACCGTCTTCTCGGATATTCAATCTACGACACTTTTTTGCAAGTCCCGTTGCGCGTATATCCGCGAAATTGTCTCTCGGAGGTGTTCGACGTATTGCTTGCAATGCGTTTTTTTTCGTCGTGCTATTTCTCCGTCCATTGTCTTTCTATCTGATCCCGCACGGTTGGTGACTTTGACAATATTTCCGACTTGTACAAAGATTAAAAAAAAAAAAAAAAATTAGATGACAAAACATTATTGTGTGACTTGCAAAATGTCTCGATTGTAAAAGTAAAATGCGAAATGAATCACGCATTCGCGATTATCTGATATCGCGAATTCGAAGTATCAATTCGCGCGTGCGCGAAGGAATATGTGTCTCATAAAAGCGAACGAGCCGACATAGTAGAGCCGCGTTCTTTCAAGACGCAGCAGCCAAGCGAAGAAACTCGCTCGTGCACAATCACGAATCGATAAAAGCTTCCTTCCCCCCTCGTCTTATGTGCGCGCTGCTTCGGGAGATACACGATTCGGATGTCGCCGATATGATCGCCGTCGCTCGGCAGCAGACACGGGTTAAAGGAAGCCCCGGCGATCTTATCACCAACCGCGGTGTCATGCTATGAGGCCATTAATCCTTTTTCTTTTCTTGTCGGGACGGTGGGAGATGAAGAAGGAGATCCGTCCCGTGTGTGACGGGCCGTTCAAACGGCGGACGAGGGTTCCCGATGTGTTCCGGAAAAAAAAATTTCACGACACGCGCGTCATTCAATTTAGAAATTGATAAACCATTTTATAATCCGTCGCTTGTGTGTCGGGGAACGTGAAATATGCATTTTCTCTTTCTTTTTCTCGCGCGATACGCGCGTAGTCGATATTTTGTTTTATCTGTCGTTGGTGTGTGTGTGTTTTTTTTTTTACGCTGTCGATGTTTGCGTGTTACCGCGGCTGAAAATATAGAAAACGATGTGTACGAATTGGAAAAGCTGCTTCCCGCTGTTTCCTCCTTTTATCGCGAGAAAAAGACATGTGGGTGAAGGGGAAGAGAGGGTAAATAGATGAAGGAGATCGGGGAGAGAGAGGGAGGGAAAGAGATACCACGGTGCGCTCCCGAGATGAAACGATAAATCTTGCAAAAGCTCGTAAGATCCGTTCTTCCTTCCGAGATTAACTGCTTCTTATAAGGTTCGATCAGAGTCATTCATCACAAGCGCCTTTTCTTGATATCTCTCTTTCTCCATTCCTGATTTCTCTTCGACGATCGTTAAAGTCTAATCGCAGCATGCGGATTTCTTTTTGCCATCCGCGGACTTCGCGCGATCTACGATCGCCGATAATCGATCGGATCTCTCATCACCGAACGCGGAGAGATTGTGCGCGCGAGGATCGAACAGGAAACGCAAACGTGCGAGATTGAGATCTCTGATTTATTGAGTAGTTTCCTTATTTAAGACTGCGACAACTTATTTCAGGCGTTTTCTGAATCATTCGGAAAAAGAGAGAACTCGAGATCTCTCGACGTGACAAATGTTTGAAATTTTTAGAAAAATACAAATATCATTTTTTTTTTTTTTATACAGTTTGGCTTTTCGATATCAAATAATTCAAACGATCGAGTCGTGAAGTAAAACTCCAACAATCTGTTTAATCGGAAAATATAGACGTGTGTTTTAATTCATTTTTAAGAAAAAAGACTCGATTTCAATACAAACTAATTTGACTTGAAAAAATCCAATTATCCTCGAAATCGAACGCAAACATTCCGCGCGAGAAACTTTCTCAATTTTCCTCTCTCGCTAATTGAAAAGCGCACTTCGGCACAAAAAACAAACGCGAACATTAGCGATTCGCAAGAAAAATGTTGACGTATGTACAAATAATCCAGCGCGCGGGCAAGGGGAAAACTCGTCGCACGCTTATCCGGAATGAAAGAAAATTTTTCACGTCGTTGTTTCGCATGGAAAGGGGGAGGGGGGAAGCTAGTGTTGTCGTGAGATCCGGTCAGACAACTGAACCGACGATGGCCGATGCCAGTCGCAACAACGACTCGTTACCGGTCTGCGGGAGAGACACGAAATCGATCGATCGCTCTGGTACGTGCATGTCGGCGCATCGATCGTCGCGTGGGTAACCCACTTAACTTGATGCGGTGTTTATGTGGAATTTAAATTGGCCGGCATCCTCCGACACGCTTTCCTGGCGGCGCACTTAATCCGTTAAGTGCACAGCAAAAATCGCTGAGTATGTACAAGATTTTCTTAAGCACACCCCCGAGAAAGAGAGAGAGAGAGAAGAGCGTCCAAAGAATTTTACTAAAACGCTCGGGAGAGATGATAAAGCGATCAAATTACGTTGCGCAAGATTAGTGAAACTTTGAAGGCAAAGTACGTATAAAGGCGTTTGTGATATATTTTATAGTTAAATTTATACAAAATTCTCCTTCGAGAAAACTCGTCTCTTGATGAACTCAGTCCGCTGGAGTGGATGATTCTACATTTTCTTTCTTACGCAAAATAATAGCGGCAATTCGTAATTCGCGTCTGTTTGTATCCAAGAACGTAGAGAGAACGTTGTAAAAATCATCGCTTTCGTGTGTTTTTTTTGTTTCAATCGGACTTACGTAAAAGAAATCTCGATGAATATTACGTGGGATTTACGTAAGGTGACAGGCTCAAGATCAGCGCTGCGATCGTTTTATTCCGGTTTTATTAAGCGGCTATTTGGCACAGTATGTTCTGCACGGTGAATGGACATTGTTCGGCGCGCATAAAGGGGTTTCAGATCTCTCGACGGACGTTTTTTCTCGGACGTCGTTCCTACGTGGTCCTCTTTCTTCGCGGTTCTCTTCATTCAGCCTTCTTACGATCCGGTCGGACCAGTATCGCGCGCACGAAAACCTCTTGGAAGTCGATCGAACGCGATTTCTGTGTAAGCACAGAAATCGTATTGATAACCACGCATGCCAATCCCATTTAAAGCTCCTTTTGGACGTATAATGAAAACCATTTTCGTGCGAATGACGTTCGCCGCGCGCGCTGTATGATATTAATTAAAAGAAAAATCGCGCCCGATTATTCTCTCTCTCTCTTTCTCTCTTTCTGCTATCGATCTGCGCTCCGCCCTTTAATTAGGCTAAGAGGCATCCCTCTATCTTTTATTCATTTCGCAAAAAAAGGCAATTTGCATAAATCTACAAGAAAAAAGTGAGCGGACTGCTTGACCAAAAGAGAGGCGGTTGTTACGCGCTTACTGTGAACCAGCGCTTTAATCTCTGCAAAGTACCCTGGTACTCGAGTATGTATCAGAATCTCTCTTTTTATCTCATAAATTACGATGTTTTACTAATCTATTAAGAATTAATTATTTTTAAACAAGAACTACTACTCGTGGAAATATTTAATGTAATGAAAATAAAAAGCGTGGAGTAAATATAACGAAATAAATTTGCGACAGAAGTGAAACTTGTGTGCGCGTCCAAAAGTTTATTCCCTTTCTCAAAAAAAAAAAAAAACATTGCAAGAAATTTATTACTGTCCTCTTCGCGTTCATCGCGCGACGAACAATTTCTGGAGCAATAGTTGACGAGAGCCCGAAAAGGGGGTCGGCTTATGAGTTTCGTCACGTTGCGCGCTTTCCGCCGTGAATGCAGATGCGTTTTGCTCTCGTCCTTATCTCGAGCGCGAATCGGCGGCGATCCGCGTGGCAGGGGGACTCCGTGTATCTACGGTGTAATACATACACACGGGTGAAAGGTGATTACGCGCGCGCGGCGTTCCGCCGGGGCGAGGTACTTATATCCGTTGGCGGAGAGCACACCGGGTTCGCTTCGTCCTTCGTCCGGTACCCGACGAGTCGGTCGAGAGCTATCTCTCCCGGCCCGACCCCCCATGGGTGTGGTACCATCTTCCAACCGAGATTATGGTCTCCGCGCCGTGGACGTTGCTCCCCGCGGGCACCGCGTACTCGTATATTATATTTGCCCGAGAAATCTCCGGACCCTCTCGGGGCGCACACGTGTGCGCA